GAATATGTGATTCTATTGGATACCTGTCTTTATTTCACAAACGTGTATGTTATGTTATTTCATTTAGTAGATCTAATACTTATAATTCCAAATCCAGCGCCGAGTGATTAGCCAGTGTCTTTAAGAGTAGGTACTATTGTATGCTTCAGTATCAAGACAGCGTAGGTGTAAAGCTACAAATTATAATGTGTCGAAATTTGATTCAACAGTTTGTTTATCGGTCGTTAACCCTCATCGGAATATAATAGATTTAAAAAAAGCGAAGGTATGTTCTGGCTATTCAACCAACAAGCCAAGAAAGGTATAGTTTTTTAAATCACAATATATTTTTTTGTATTAGTGCTTGTGGATGATTTGGTATCCAATTAGCTGAGTATGTTCGCATACCTTTTTTGATTAGTTTCAGAGCCAGACAGATCACTATCGTATACTTAGTAATGTGCACTAATTTGTACCGAAATTGGGGTCCATCCAGCAGTGGATGTTTGTGGGCTGAAAAAACGGAGGTTCTGGAAACAAAGCTGCATTCACATTGTCTATGAGTGAAGGTTTTCGCTTATCACTAGATGAGCTAAATATTCTTTCTTCTGCGTATGTGATACAAAAAAAAATATGTTAATTTAGTGTTTTTTTTCAGCTTCGTACCATAATAAGAACTATTATTGTAGTGTATATTTATGAAATTATAAAATTTGTTTTTTAAGAGTAATTCTTTTTATACAAAAGTATTTTTCTATAATTTTCTCTAAATTCAATATTAAATCAGATAGTTTAGAAAATAGTGCAGGATTGTCGTGTTTTTCGTCTCGAAATGATTAAATTTTTCACAAATGGATACTTGATCATTACGTACATACAAGGCCTATGTCCAGCAGATAAAGGCTGATGATGATGATGATGATGATGATGACGTACATTCATCAGCTATTACTCTTAAAGGTGCAGCTGAGTTCTGAAAATGCTGTCGGGCATTGAAATGACTGTCAATGTGGGCGACAAAATCTGGGGTTGAGAGCTTACATAAATAATTCACATGATATGTGCTGGCTATTCTATCAGACTGTCAACTAGGAACTACCATTTAATGAGATTTTGTAATAGATTCAGCGAATCACTGCTCTCGCTAGAACTAGTGTTAGCATTGGCGGTGTATCTGGCAGGCTGGTTCTGGTCCAGTGAGGTATTCCGGAACGCTAATGGCACCGCCTGGGACAACTTGCCGGGCTGACGTACCGACGTAGGGTCGTCCAATTATCGCCTCGACGAACCGTTGTTGGGGCGTCTTAAGGGTGGCCCTGCGAGTTTGGTTGTAGTGTTGACCGCGGGAGCCCCCCTACTCTGCCTGGGCTCTAACCTCGGGCGGAGATCGGACGGCGGGTGAGAGAGTGGCAGGGGAGTCGTTGAGTAGGGCCCTAAAACATCCTTGGGCCCGCGGTCTGCTCCTAACATCTGCAGACCGTCAAGTCCCACATAAAAAGTCCTAGTGTTAGCAAAGTCTACAGGCTGAGCTCCGTGAGCTCACCTATACATCCAGTGAAGCTTATATAGCCCTTCGAGGTTACTAGCAATAGGGGTACGGGAAAAAAAGATAAACAATCTCATGAAATTTTGCTCCGTAAAGATTTTCTAGGACGTTCCCTTCGAAGCGCGGCTCGTATGGGTTTTACGTTTTATGACAGTATACTATATAGAGTTATATGTATTTTCGTCCAGATATTCATTATCTAAGGTGATTATTATTATTTTTTTAATTTTTTTTTTATTGCTTAGATGGGTGGACGAACTCACAGCCCACCTGGTGTTAAGTGGTTATTAAGTTAAGTGGTTAGTAAGAGTCCATAGACATCTACAACGTAAATGCGCCACCCACCTCTAGATATAAGTTCTAAGGTCTCAGTGTAGTTACAACGGCTACCCCACCCTTCGAACCGAAACGCATTACTGCTTCACGGCGGAAATAGGCGGAGTGGTGGTACCTACCCGTGCGGACTCCCAAGAGGTCCTACCACCAGTGATTACGCAAATTATAATTTTTGTAATTGTTAAATCATTGCACTTACAGAATATGTTAAAAACCGATACTAGCCCTAGAAAGTGTGGTGCTTCGCTGAATCTACTAAGGGATTGTAATAGTGACCTACTAAGATTCGACGAGGAATTCAGTGAGTATTATCTGAGCTAGGTTTCATGTTAAGCTCTTGCTTTGTGAGGGCCCAAGATGAGGGGGTTTCTGCAAGAAGAATTTGTCTGTATTCGTTTTATTTAGGAAGTCTAATGTTGATCTTACCACCAACGGTACAATATTCTTTATCATCCAAATTTTACACTCGAGAAAGTCTGAAACGGCAAGAACATGTTGAAACACAATGAATTTGTAATCTATTGCTTAACATTTTATTCCTTGAAGTTAATCGAGTAATTCGTATTAAAAAATCTAAAATCTATTGAATTTTACATTCGATTACTTATAGGTACAATAATTTATTTTTAAATAACTATTTACAATTCGAACAAAAAAAAAAAACAGTTATGTAACGATATAAAAAAAAACATTTTTTTTCGTGAACTATTGCGAATTTTGTTTTATAGTTCAATAAGTGACATTTATATTGCTTAAGTTAAAGATTTAATATTTACATATTATCAGAAACTGTCATATGCTTGAAGTGTATGTAGAGTGAAAAGAAAAATTATGAAATATATATTTCGGTTTTTGCTAATTGTAGACATAATAAATGTATTTTTAGGTTTTTGTCTCGAGTTTAATTACTTTAATTTTATTATTTCAGTGCTATATTCTAAAATCGACGACATCCAAAACTGTAAAGTTCTGGAAACATCGGAAATAATGTATTATAATAAAATGAATAATAAATAATAAATGAAAACGGTAAAAGTAGTCCTGATTTATAAAAAAATATATATTCTCGTAAAAATAACACAGTTCTGAACTATAAGAGTTGTGTATCTATCGACGACTTCAAGTAATGTTTTGTTGCTGTCACTAAGACATTTAGTGTTCGTCCAATTATTGAAATTCGATCACAATCACTAATATCTTTTATTTTTTTATTGACATTATAAAGCATAAAACTGAAATTTACAAAAATGTTTGATAACACTAAAGCTAGTTAATTAATAGCCACTAAACAGAATAGAAAAAAAAAGCGCTTAAAAAACTGAAGAGAAAATAGCACGGAACTGTTTTGGATTTGCTTATTTATAATAATAATCTTCTTCGGTTTTAGTGAGTCTAAGACGTAATTAAAATTGCTTTTACAACTTAATTTTACGTTTTTTGTTCCTTTTACATGATTTCCGGTGTATTGAATACTTTATAGTTTTCAGGGTTGTCCGTGTCCGTAATGATAGAAATTACGAGATTATGTTGTAAAAGTAATTATAATTATATAACACTAGCGGCCCGCCCCGGCTTCGCTTGGGAAGTAGCGCACGCGATGTAAAGAATTTTAGGTAATTTTTTTACACATTGGGTTACATTATTGGAGTTTCAGTAAGGATCCCTATTTTTTTTGAATATATAATAAATATAGCCTATGTCACCCGGCGATAGCGTAGCTTTCCAACAGTGAAATATTTTTTTAAATCGGTTCAGTAGTTTTGGAGCCTATTCAATACAAACAAACAAATCTTTCCTCTTTATAATATTAGTCTAGACTATATAGCGACCCACCCTCGCTTCGCTTCGGTGACCATAATTTATTATTGATTTTATTGAATTTTCTTTTATACATTTGTTTTAAACTATATTCAGTTTTTATTACATCCTCTTTTACAAAATTTGCAGCACGCGTTCTGTCAATGTTATGTTAAACGCCATAAGGTTACATTAAAAAATCATTAGAAAATTTAATATGGTGGTTATTTATTTTAAAAATTTTCTAATTTTGCGCGCAAGTTTCTTTTTTTTTTCTTTCTTAAGAACCTTCTCCTGACAATAACAAACGAAAGAAAAATACAATTATCCAATTTGTTGCCGGCGTTCTGAAGTTACGCGCATACATACATTACACAGATTCATTTTTATATATTTTAGGACAATTTTTATAGGCTTTGGGATTTTAAAGAGTTTGAAATGGGAACTCGGAGACATTCTCTAAAGTAAACATAGCTTATTCGTTTTCTCAATAAAATAAAAATATCATTGTAATGTACACATCTATACCTACAGTAACATTAGTTTAGATTACATTCCGTTATCTCAAATGTGTTTACATCATCTAAATCGAAGTATGGCATGTTTTTTTTTCGAATTTTATATATTTCTGCATTCATTCGAAAGCGTGGTCCGTATTTACAGATGTATCTAATCGGTAGCACGAAGGAAAGTACACTAAACAGTTCTTACACTGCACTTAATGAAAAGTAAATCAAGTCTTTTCTTTCTGTAATATGAAATTCGCACTTAAAAACGCCATTAAAATTTCCGAATTTCACTTTCGTCATAGTCTTTTTGTCGAATACTTAGAGTATAGAGACGAATATTAGATTAATCTTTTCACACATTTTTTTTAATATAAGTGAAAAAATTATACGGTTTTGATTGAATTATAAAGATGGCGGGCGGTCGTTGGGCTCTTGAGTTACCGCGGTGTCCAAACGTCAATGCGGCTGTAGAGAGTTTAATATGTTCATGTTGATGGTGTGTTGATGGGTCGGGGGCCGTATTTACAGATGTATCTAATCGGTAGCATGAAGGAAAGTACACTAAACAGTTCTTACACTGCACTTAATTAAAAGCAAATCACGTCTTTTCTTTTTGTATTATAAAAACCGCACTTAAAAAAACACAGGTAAAGTTTCCGAATTTCACTTTCGTCATAGTCTTTTTGTCGAATACTTAGAGTATCGAGACGAATATTAGATTAATCTTTTCACGCATTTTTTTTTAATACAAGTGAAAAAAATATACGGTTTTGATTGAATTATAAAGATGGCGGGCGGTCGTTGGGCTCTTGAGTTACCGCGGTGTCCAAACGTCAATGCGGCTGTAGAGAGTTTAATATGTTCATGTTGATGGCGTGTTGATGGCTCGGAGGGCCGCCTAGGAAGCTCAGCTGGGGTCTGGAGGCGGCGGCCATGGCAGCGAACAGGGGAGGAGCACCCCCGCTACCGAATAACGCGAAGGAGGGCGGCAGAAGTGGTCGGGCGGATAGTCTCAGTTTCTCGATCTCGGCTTCTTGGAGTCGTTTCGCTTTGGCTCTTCGATTTTGGAACCAAATTTTCACCTGAAACACAAAGTTGCGATAAGTTAAAAAAAAAAACGTTATTGTCGAAAAATCGTAAGTCTGAGGTAGATTTTGGGTCGGCGCTTTGTTTGAAATTATTGTTGTAACATTTTCAGTTCTAATGGAACAGCTTCGAAAGTATCGTATAAAAAATAAAAAAATATTCCTCAAGGCAACCAAGAAATTGAAAATGCGAAAGTTTTTCAGTATTTTTCAATATAATAGAAATACACTAATACAACATTTATACTACATTTTTAATGAGGTAACAGGTTATTAATATGTAGGAAAAATAGTACCTGTTATTAATTGGTAACAACAAAGCTGTAACAGCGTAATTTATGGAAAATCCTGTATAAAATCGTGAACAATCAAGGTAGCCACTATATGAACGAACTAGCGACCCGCCCTCGCTTCGCTTCGGAAACATTAAAACATACATGAAACAAAAAAAAAAAAAAAAAGTAGCCTATGTTCATCAGGGACAATGTCGGCTTCTAATGAAAAAGAATTTTTCAAATCGGTTCAGTAGTTTCGAAGCCTATTCGAAACAAACAAACAAACAAATCTTTCCTCTTTATAATATTAGTATAGATTCCCAAGAAATTTGACGTTACCATACAAAAAAAAAATCAGCTTTAGAATGAAAATCGATTAGGTGTGCTTTCTGTGTATTTCAATTATTCTTTTTTCGATATGTTCAGCAATAGATGGCGTTGTTTTTCGTAAGTAATCAATGGAAATGCGTAAGAATGTCAACAAGCGTATTTATCAGTTACTAGCTTTTGCTCGCGACTCAGTCCGCGTGAAATAGTTACTTTGGCATAACGCTAAATTACGCATTTTCGTAGAAAGTGAAAATATTTTTGAATTATAGAATGTTAAGGAGCTATTTAAACCCCTATTCTGAAACATTCTTTATTGGTGCTCCACTTGTAATGGTCTTACCGTGGGTTATATATTAAAGCCTTCCTCAATAAATGTGCTATCTAACACTGAAATAATTTTTCAAATCGGACCAGTAGTTCTTGAGATTAGCGCGTTCAAACAAACAAACTCTTCAGCTTTATAATATTACTAGCTGTACCCGTCCGCTTCGCTGGGCATTTAAAATTAACATTATTATTTCTCACCCCCACAAAGATTCTCATCATTAACGCCCCCGTAACTGGTGTAGGGAGTCCAATACTCATATAAATAACCTATCCATTAAGTGCAAGTATTTTCTACATGGATACCAAGTTTCAAGTCAATCGGATGCATGGTTCAGTAGTTATAACGGAACATCCGTAAAAACCACTATAGATTTATATATTAGTATAACTAGTCAGGTCATAAGTATTGTCACACAGTAAAAACTTTTCTTTTAGAATGCTGGCCACAAAAAAGTTTGTTGAATTCGAATTTCGAATTGTTCATGAAAATAAAAATGTATACTTTTAGAATTTTACTCATTTTTAAATATGGAGTGGACGCTTAAAGAAGACCGTGTGGTAGTTATTTCGTTGCATCGTTGCGGTTACGCGCCAATTCAAATTTTTAACATACTGAAAAATTTTAATATAACCAAAAGATTCATTTATCGTACCATCAAACGATACAATGAAGAGTCTAGTGTAGATGACAGGTCAAGAAGTGGTCGCCCTCGGTCTATTAGGACTCCAGCAGTGATAAAAGCTGTGAAGGCGCGAATTCAAAGAAATCCCAAACGTAAGTAGTAACTGTTGGCCCTTCAGATGGGGTTAAGCAGAACCATGGTGAAAAGGTGTTAAATGAAGAGTTAGGGCTTCGGTAATATCGAAGAAAAACAGGACATCGTTTGAATGCTCGTCTGATGGACCTGAGACTGAAGAGATGCCGCGCTTTGTTGAAGCGGTACGCGGGAAAAAAATATCGGGAAATTCTTTTTTCGGATGAAAAAATTTTTACCGTAGAAGAGAGCTACAACAAACAAAATGATAAGGTGTACGCACACATTAGTGAAGAAGCGAGCAACCGTATTCCGCGTGTCCAACGAGGTTATTTTCCATCCTCGCTCATGGTATGGTTGGGAGTTTCTTATTGGGGCTTAACAGAGGTACATTTTTGTGAGAAAGGTGTAAAAACGAATGCAGTTGTGTATCAAAATACAGTCCTGACGAACCTTGTGGAACCTGTTTCTCATACCATGTTTAATAACAGGCACTGGGTATTTTAACAAGATTCGGCGCCAGCTCATAGAGCGAAGAGCACACAAGACTGGCTGGCGGCGCGTGAAATCGACTTCATCCGGCACGAAGACTGGCCCTCCTCCAGTCCAGATTTGAATCCGTTAGATTACAAGATATGGCAACACTTGGAGGAAAAGGCGTGCTCAAAGCCTCATCCCAATTTGGAGTCACTCAAGACATCCTTGATTAAGGCAGCCGCCGATATTGACATGGACCTCGTTCGTGCTGCGATAGACGACTGGCCGCGCAGATTGAAGGCCTGTATTCAAAATCACGGAGGTCATTTTGAATAAACTTTAGTGTCATAAGAATCTTTGTTTTGTTAAGTTCATTTTGGTATATGAATGGTTACATAATGAATAAACTTGTTTCAATTATTTTACATTAAACATGTGACAGAATTTATGACCTGACTAGGTAGATAAGTAAAGATATAGATAATAATAAGTAACATAACGTACCTGAGTTTCTGTGAGCCGAAGAGACGACGAGAACTCAGCTCTCTCGGCGATGCTCAAATATTGTTTCTCCCTAAATTTCTTCTCCAAAGCTAGGAGCTGTTGGGTCGTGAACGGCGTCCGAGGTTTGCGGTTCGGCTTGTGCTTGCGAAGCTGACATCGTACTACCGGTGGTCCACTCGGAGAGCCAGCTGGAGAACAAAATAATAATTATACTACAGTACTCGGCGATAAATATTGCACATTGGCCGTGCTTCGTAGAGCGTTTTATCTACAAGCTCTAAAATTGAAATGGCAGTGGGCAGGTCACGTATTGAGATACACAGACACCAGGTGGACAGTCTACACTACAATCTGGAAAGGGCCAATTGGCAAAAGAAGGGTAGGAGACCGAAAAGACGATGGGCTGACGACATAACCGAAATAATAGTAAAGGACTGGCAAACTATCGGCAAGGACAGAGATCAGTGGAAAGGACTGGAGGAGGCCTTCACCCGAGGAGGGGTCCATATCCAATAACAAAAACTAACTCTTACTAATATTTAGACAATAAACATTAATAACTAACTAAACATTAACAAATAAATACCACATTTGAAATGAAAGTTAAGGATAAGGAAATATAGGCTTTTTTATTTGATTTATTTTTATTTAATAGAGCGTTTTATCTATCACATGTTACCTAATTGACATTTAGTCTCCATATATACCGGATCGTTAGTATTTCGTCGCACACAGGTAACGCTCTACAGCAAAAACAAAATTGGACGACTGTCTCCTTTTAAGTATCGATGTGCAATATTTATTGCCTGGTACTGTAAGTATATCTTTTTATGTTTGGGAGATTACTGGTGGCCCGGAGGCCTTTCCAGTTTTACCAGGGCAGGTGGGTGAGCAAGATCCCAGCCAGGAGGGTTGGGATTTGCTAACAGCTATCCGAGCGCCTCCAAAGAAGACCTAACAATATAAGAATAGCTGCTTCGCGAATGAATCTACTGCCGGATCGGAATTGCGACCCGCTGAGAAGATCCGGCGAGAAACTCGGCGGGCTGATGTTTATGTTAGGTTGCATGTCGAACTCTTTGCCGAGTTCGACGAGTACGGTTACCGGGGCCCTACTCCTAGTGTTAGAGCTAAAGGTATCTAATGCAAGGGTTATTAGATCTGCTGGATCCGTAAGGACGTGACTAAGTATATTACGGAACAATGTTGTGTATTGAAAACTAAATCCACAAATTTTATTTGTCTGCGTAATTACAGTAGATAGGGGGGAATCGGGACGCTTTCCAATTCCAACACAAATTTTCAGCAGTTTTCCTTAGGGTAGTACCAATAAAATTGAGATTAAAATGGTTCCAGAGGTTAAAATTTTTATATACGATGCATTAATAAACATTGTTCATTGAAAAATATACACAAAGACTTAAAAAGCTAGCTTGACCTGATCCACCTTGGCTTTTGGGGTGAATCGGGTCACGTACGGCGATAATTGAGTTTTTTGATAGGGCTGGCATTGTTTAGTTTTTAGGTAGGTACTTACCTTTAGGTAATTAACTTTTCAATATCTTTATTCAGTTACAAAACTTTGATGACTAAATTAAACTATTTAATATTCATAAACACTAAATAAAAGTCCTTTTCAATTTAATAAATTTAAATCTTACAATAGAATTGTGACAACCCAGTTTTGTCCCTATTCTCCCCAATCTACAGTACTAATGTCAATGCGTACTGAGAAGTCTGCCTTCTGCTTTCTGCCTGAATTTCTGTCGCGAAGTTTTGTGTTATTACCGCTCTCTACATTTTCACTAAAAAATTGTTTTATGTAAGTCATAAACCTATAACGCAAATATCTAATAATAATAATAATAATAAGTAATAATAATAAATAGGCTTAATCAAAATTCGAATTAACCGATAGATTCCAGTTAATAGGCTATTCACCGCCGGATGTGAGACAATGGACCGGCCAATGTCATCATGCAGCTCGCTGAATCGATGTTTTAATATTCAAAGCGATTACTTGATTCAAATCGGTATTATTCGACTAATAGCATCGGATTTAATTAACCGATCAAGTTTAATTAAATCAAACCGAGCGTTCCATTAAAGGTTTGATTCATTCAGAATAGAAACTCGTGTTATTTAAGATTATTTTTATTAGTTGTACCATTGATACCAATAATAAAATAATAATGTGAGATTAAATTTCGTAGAGGGGACATTAAATATTAAATCGAAGCGTAGTCTCCTTAGTTCAAAGTCCAATAGGTTCGATGGAAGAAGGGAGAAATCCTTTGGAAAGCTCTAAGCCTCGATAAGCTATGATGCGAAAGGATGGGAAATTAGGAGGTGGGATATCGACTGGGACATGTCCCAGTCGATTATGAATGATGAGACAACGAAGCTAATAGACTGCTTATCAAGGCTGCCTAAACTAGAGATGATTGTAAATATATTGGCGGGCTATTTATTTGAATATAAATGTTATCCGTCGATTTTGAATAAATAGTTCTGCAGATTAATTAGTAAATTGTATTTTTTATTGAAAATTTAAAGCAATAAAACTTTTTTTTATGAATTAGTATTTTTATTTATCAAGCTCAAATTATAGGCTGAAAGCTCTATTACTAAATCTTTAATAAAATTCTACACAGCAAAGCCATAGCATCGGATCTATTTTCTATTCTTAAACAGATTGCTGTGAAGTTTTTTACTTTATTTTTTTTGTCTTCAAATTTTTTTTTGTCTTTTTGTCTTCTATAATTTTTGGAACATAATTGTTTTTTTTCTAATTCATTTATAGACCAGAAGCAATTGCATTTTGATTATTTAATCAAATAATATATATTCTATCCTTCTTTTAAATACTGACTGACTAGGTTGTGGGTTCGATTCCCAAATTGGGTAAATATTCGCGTTATGAACAGGTTTGTCTGCTCTTTGTCTGGTTATTTATTCTCTTTATATCTATATTTTAAATGTATATAGCACCCCTGGTCAGGATTGGTATATCTTTATGGTCATACCAAGTCTCAGGTATCCACAACACAGGCAATCCTAATTTAGGGCGGAATGACCTAGCGTGATTTTTCCTAGTAATTTATTTGTTATATTACAAGTGTCTATAACCTAATTTAGAAATCAAATTTAATTTAAATACCAAATTATATCATTTAATGGAAATCAATTTTAACATAGTCTAATAGGTAATTGTGTAAAATAAATAAGTTATTTTAAATGGCAACGATTTTTAAGGAAAATATGCATACCTACCTAATTTGATTTAATTTTAAATTAATATTTACATTACATTACGTTCACATTACAATATGTACTTATTAAAATCGACAGATGAAGCTTGTAATCTTTAATTGACTCAGAAGTTTGACGAGTGGTTAATTCACGGGGATAATGAGTGGTTACGAATCAATAACCAGTGGTCTTGACTAATGGAAATAGCAGTGGTACAGCCAAGCCTAATAAATTGCAAACAGCTAATTTTTCAAACAGTCGACTCATTTTGAAACTATGCTTTGAAGTAAACTTATATTCATTTATCAATTTCAAATGAAGGCTTTCGTAAATCGTAGATTAAAAGCTATTGTTTAATCTGGCCTTTGATATTGTATTGTTTTTACTGGTGGTAGGACCTCTTGTGAGTCCACGCGTGTACCACCGCCCGGCCTATTTCTGCCGTGAAGCAGTAATATGTTTCGATTTGAAAGGTAAGGCAGCCGCTGGAACTATACTGAGACCCTTTGAACCTATATCTCAAGGTGGGTGGCGCATTTACGTTGTAGATGTCTATGGGCTCCAGTAACCACTAAATACCAGGTGGGCTGTGAGCTCATCCACCCATCTAAGCAATAATTTTTTTTTATAAAAAAACGCCATTACAAACCTTTCGTTCTAATTCTTTTAATTTAATCAAAACATAAAACACACGAGGTAGCCATTAGTCGTTGCCCTTAACCCTTATTTGATTGTCTCATAATTAATTCAATCAAAATGCTAATTTATCCACTTCCTTTCCGAATTATTGAAATTCATTATTATCTTGTTACCTTAAGACCTCTATCAACATACAACGCTGTCCAAAGGGCTTAGAATCACTTTAATTGGAAACAAAGGTTCATTTTATGAGGTCAATGTCAGTGTACCTACTTTACATTAAAATCGTTATTAAATTAAGGAACTAAACGATTTGCTTGAACTGGAATAGAAAGGTTATGTTGGAAGGCATTAATATTGAAGTCTCAAGAATTTTATGAATGGATCCAAACAGGTATCGCGAGTCTCTGTAATCGTCCGTCCCATTGAAGACAAATTTGTTTTCTCATCTCTTGCAATTTTCTTAGAAATGGTTTTCTAAACTAAATTTATAAATAAGTTTGATAGAACATTTAAATAAGTGTTCAGTCTTCATTCTCGTGGAAATCTAAAATGGACCCAACTGTCGCGATGGTTAAATCCAGATGAGGCTATATTTTTTTTAAAATATTACCAGAGTCTCCAGCTCACCGTTATTCCGTATGACACTTAATAAAAATGAAACGTCCAAATAACGGCCAAGGCTCTTGGAACGGAGAGGAAAACTAAAAGGACAAAAAAGCAAATAAATAAATAACTACCTTTCATGTATCGGTGATAAAATACAACAACTTCAATAGACTCCACCTGCAGACGTATCAATGCAGCCATCGACCGCTAATGAAGATATAATATCCATCTTCAAACGTATTTATTTTCCCGCGCGACCCAATGCGCTCGCCATTTTGTGCAGGGACGACAGATCATAGAGCATTTCACGTAATGGCCGCCAATTAAGCCCGTTGTTTAGGGTGCTTTAATAGAATTTAGTTGTCAATATCCAGATTTAATTGGTGTGTGTTTGTAATCTTTCCTGTTTAAGAATAAATGGCTCTATTATCGTTCCCTTTGGGTTTTATTTAGAACGAATATTGTAGTTTGGAAACAAAGTATTGATTTTTGTTCTATTTGTTCCTCAACTTGTTGTTAACGATTTTGATTCCATTTTAAATACATTTCATTTGATTAAAGTGTTATTAATTCATCGAGCCTCGGTAATAATCAATTAAGTACAATTGAATAATACGTACGTGGGTATGCGATTACCGAGAAAATGCAATATCCAGTCATTTTCCGGCAAGCGAGTATCATACGTTAT